CAATGCTTACGAGGACACAATGCATCTAGTGGCCTGGTTACGAGCCTTGGTCGGTCCCCATCCTTCTTCACTCTACCACCACTCGGGCAGAGCTAGCTATGCGTGTCAGCTCCTGCACGCAGACTTTCTTAGACGTATGTTCCTCTCTATCTGGATCCTCTGCGCTCCTGTTAACGCAATCTACAGGAATCACTGGCGAAATGTCTGAGAACTGACACTCGTTGGAGACTGGGGCCCGGCGCCATCATGCTGTCCGACCTCGAACTGATCGGTCTGCAGCCTGTGGCTGCGCGAGACTGGCAGATCCACTTCCGAGTGCGTTAGGAGGCGCCTCTTGCAACCTCTTGCAACCTAGGCTGCATGAAATTTCGTTGAAGCTATCTAACTTTGGTACCCTTATTGTCACGTCGCGGTAATTGTCCCCACAATTTTTGCCACAGTATTTTTATTTACTTAACATGAAACTTTGTATGGACAAAAATACATGGTAGCTGCATATTTATTCTCTATCCAAAACTCATTTCGTGTACGACGACGATAGCGCGCGTTTCAGGCACGCTGCACGGCGACCTGCCCTAAACTGCTATGACGTAGCACGTCTGCCCCGGGTGTCTCCGAATTGGACCCGGCTTGCATGTCTTCTTCATTTTGTACACCGCCAAAAGTTCCACGGGTGGTGACCAGACGGGAGGTACTGGAAAGTTCCTGGACGATGACGCCCGAATAAGACATGTGAGCACCCAAATTTCATCATATTTCGCCTCTGGCCACGGAGCAGTTCCAGACACGGGTGGAAGCCAGGCGTGAAGATGGGTGGTAGAGACATGTCTTTGCTGGTAGAAGCCACCCGTGTATTTGCAACCCTCGGAACTCTGGTAGTCTGTCATCTTGCCAAGTTCGCGGAGTAGTCGACAGCGCACGGCAGGTGCATCACGCGGCCTTAATGTAATGATAACTTCATCGAGTGCTTGCAATTGCGGTAATATAATATATTGTGGCACTGCCGTAAAACTAAGCTTGACTGCCGACAAATTCGTTAACAGTCTGCTGCAACTCCGGAACTTGTGCCTGAATGTCACCATCCTCACCCTCCTCAATGACACCGTGAGTAGCCCAATCATTCGCTAAGATCTTGCTGAAAATCTTGTTCATCTTCTTGGGATTGCAGTCAGCCGCGTTGCGAATCTCTGCAAGATTCTTGTTGGCTGAATCCCAGAAGTCGCAGTCGGATTTGTCAAGAATGTCTTTCGCTATTGCAGATGGTCTGCATTAGTCAATGCCAAACATCGGAAGTTGAGCGAGAGGCAGGCACATACTAGAGGCGCCACTCTTGTGCAGAGCTGAAGAGACAGCTCACATGACGTGCTCCCGCAGAGTTCAATTTTCAGTGAGCTTGAAGATGTTGAGGTGTTCCTGATGGTCATCACCGTCAGTGCCAGCATAAAGCTAAGTGAGACAAGCATTAGCACACTGCTGACATGTCAAGAAGATCCAGAATAAGTTCGACTTACTGCCTTTTTGATCTTTGCCTGTTGCTCAGTCATTTCGTTCTGGATGGCCTTAATCACCTTGGCCCAGCGGCCGTGGTTGCGCTCGATACCTGCCGGCAAGT